GTTGGGCTGATTTGGTTGTCCGAGTAAGTTTCTAAGTTTAGTTGCATGTCTGCACAGAGTGTAGCTGAGTGGAGAGACCTCGGATGAGTTTGCAGTTATCTCTGGTGTGATTCAAGATTGTGTCTAAGTTCCTGCCCTGTTTAATATATACCTTCATGCCATAATGTCTTGTGCTTTTGATGCGGCTTGTGCTTACGGTGTTCGTGTGGAGCACCGTACTGATGGTGGGTTGCTGAACATCCGTCGTTTCGGTGCAAGAACCCTAGTCTGTGAGACAACTATCCGTATGTTGCTGTTTGCTGACGACTGTGCGTTGGTTGCACACATCGCTGATGAGTTGCAGCACATGACTAGTGCTCTGGATTCGACAGCGGCCAAATTCGGCTCACCATGGTAACAGTCAGAACTGTCTGTCTCTTTCAGCCTTCACCGATGATGCAGTCTTCAATATTGCCGCAAATCAGCATCAGTGCTAAAGTATTAGAAACCACCTCCCGCTTCTGCTACCTTGGTGGTGTGATGTCGACTGACCAGCAGCTACACAGTGAGCTGCGTATCCGCGTCTCGAAGGCAGCGGTGGCATTCAGGAAGCTAGAGTACCGAGTGTGAAACAACCATCAGCTTACCATTGGCACGAAGCTGATGGTGTACAAATACATGGTGCTGTCCATTCTTCTATATGGCAGCGAAACGTGGACGATGTACCGGCGGGATGTGCGATATCTCGAGCGGTTCCATCAACAGTGTTTGCGGCGGATTCTGCGTATTGTTTGGTGCGACAGTTGCGGACACAGAAGTGTTGCGTCGTAGTGGAATGTATGCAGTGGACTGCATACTTTTGCTGAGATACCTGAGGTGGCTCCATCATGTGTGGCGTATGGATTCGACGCGGATACCGACGCAGCTATTATATGGTCAACTGTGTTTGGAGAAGTGGCACGTGGGGAAAACGAAGATTCGTTACCAGGACCTGAGCAAAATGAGCCTCTCAAGTTCCAATCTTGATTGTAGGTCATGGGAATCGAAGGCGATTGATCGGCTTGCATGTTGCTACCTGATCTCAAAGACCTTTGCCGATCTGCAAGAGAAAGCCCTCATGCATGCAGAGAAGAAGCGGCAATTGGGAAGTGACAAGCGCCGATGGGTTGTACTCCATCGACGTCGAGCGCATGGTGCTGCAACACATGCGGTCGCGAGTGCCTGAGTCAGACAGACCTAGTGAGGCATGAGCGAGGCCACTCGGGGCCACCACAGAAACGAGGACGAGTCCTGCTGAGAACGTAGGCAGAACCGGCGCAGCGTTTAGGAACAGGCTGCGTTCGATTTACTAACCGCCTGCTTCGGTATTGAGTTTCTTTATTTCAGGCGATGCGTTTGCTATATTGTCCTAATGCTTGTTACCTTATTTTAATGTCTACCTGTATAACCTTCTATTAACTTGCACAAGTCGTTCAACCTAATAGTGGTTAACTACGTTAATATCTTCCCGTTTGCAATATTTCCTTAAAAATATTTTCTGACATGTTTAACCTTTTGCGGAGTTGTTGATAACCAAGTTAAGTTATGTGCTTATTTAGCGAAGAACTGTCAGCGTATCTGTATCCATAATCCGATATATTTTATTTGATATCGGCATTTCGAATGATTGGCTGTTGTTTGACATCCCCGCTGTGGCTGTGCTTGATGTGCATGTTGACAAGGTGCCTACCTGTCTATTACCCGCTACCTCATCCATACTGGCTCCAGAAGAAAGTTGGTCGTTGCTGGAGGGGACGAGGTGCACGGTCCTTGTGGTCGTGCTAGGCTCGAAGAGTGGTTCCACTCACTCAGTGTGGAGCGGACCATGGTCCAGCCACCGCCTTGTGTGCGCCTGATTCCCCAAATACAGCGTGCTTGTGTTTGTCTGTGAAGAAGTGTGGGCCGGCTCCATTGATGAAACGTGGCTCCCATCCGCATGCCTCCCGGTCTTATTCCTTCGAGCTTACACTGGATATGGGGTGTGTGGATGGAGCTGTGGTTGGTGCAGCGCCAGCCATCCATGGTCCCTCTGTAGGCGCAGGCGTCCTGTGGCTTTCCTATAGAGGCCACAATGACAGGCAAATCCGAAACCGGATGCCGCCAACCATGCAACACATTGCCTGTGTCCGGAAATCGGCGGACAGGAGTCACTCCAGCGGACTCACACCTTATAGTCTCAATTCATATAAGAGCACCTAGCAGAGGCTGATTTCATACACTTCTTGTTGGTACATTACTTAATGCTTGTCATGAAGCCTCGATCACTGAAAATGGAAACAACGCATCAAGGTAGTCATTTGAAGATAATAGTTAGAAATCGGGAGCGCATGGTCAAACCCCTAGAAACGGATGATGCTCGTTTGAAGTATTAGCGGTCCAGCCAACTACTAGTTTCTTCATACACACCCACTTAGGCAGTAATTTCAAGTGGACTGAATGATACACTACAAGTTGATGTGCGCTATGAATTAATAAGCAAATCTACGAAGACACTACTTAGGGTAAAAGCAAACTGAATTATGCAGCTACACCGTTCGAGATGTCAAGGTTACGCACGGTTGCGAGTGGTCTACGTAACTACAGCTTAGAAGATGACTTTAAGGTTGTTACAAATGCATCCGGACAATAGAGATCACCCAGTCGACTAGACATACAATCCACCTCAATGGACGTTATTCGCTTTCGAGCGAACAACCGAATGGGCCATTCACTCAGTGTTTTAGTGGGCATTTCATAGGAACATACAACCGTAAGCAAGTCATGCATAAGATCGTTTTGCGAATGTGTCTTACCGCCCACCTTGGTTAAAGTAAGTTTCAGCTAGTAGGCCTCCCTCAGCGGAACATACCGGTGATGAGTTGACAGAAGAGCAAGGAAAAGTGAGAAAACCGACCGAAAGGACGCATCGTTTGGGTAGTAGGTGCTTTGGCAGTGAGTATCGGCTGCAGTCTCGGTCCCATCAGCGGATAGAAACCCTATATGACATAATACAGTCAAATGGTTAGTCTACATTCAGTATTTCTACTCTGGCAGCCCAAGTTCAAACCTTACCATAGGTTCTCAGTCTAGAACTGTACTCTCACATCAAACCCAGGATTAGCAGCTCGATTCACGGCACTTAAGTATCCGAGCATGGTTTATAAACCAAATCGGATAGAAACGAGTGCCAGCTTCTGGCTAGGAGGCCAAGGTTGGATAACTCAACGTATGCGACTCGGGAGCCTGTACGGCAGAGTCGCTAGTGACAGCAACAGTGTTATACTCAAGGGGAACGGAAAGAGACTGGCTTCTCGAAAATAAGGCGATCTAAAATGTGATTCAAATTACCAGGACTCCGAACACAATCAAGACTCGAGATAATCGGTACGACCTCCACGTAGAACGGTTAGGCCATTAACATCAAATTCCGATTGAAAGAGAGCGAGCGGACGCACGATTCCGGTCATGGGAATTAAGCAACACTGAGATCGTTAGAAGTTTGATGAGTTACCAAAGGTTTGTTCTGGACATTGACATCTTGTATGTTAACCTACGATGAAAGCCCTTCTGTTATTGGCATACTTCGCTCCGGTAAATTTGACACTCGTAGAGTGTTAAGCTCCAAGGTGCTGTTGAAAGAGGCACCTAATAGATAAATGGACCAATCATACCCCGACTAAGTTCTCTGGAAGTATTCACTACGAAAAAACATGATTTTTCAGTCACTATAGAATGTCTCAGCTAGCTCCTTGGTCCTGAACAGCATCACATTCTTAAAGTCTCACTCTTGGGGTACTCAGTAGTAACAATCCGAGTGTTACTCAGGATGTGGGGATGAACCAAGTTCAGACAGCAAAGTTATCGCTTTTTTTCGGTAGCATAGGCGGAGGGCTTAATGAAGTGGGTTGATATGGTGGGACACAACATGAGATCTTATCCTTTTACGGTTTATCATCAGGAGCAACATAATGAAATTGCAAAACAAGTAAATTGCACATCAGATTAAACTATTTCCTTGTTTGTCAGTTGATGACCTTATGAAAGTCCATTCTTGAAATGGGTGACATCGATGACTGTATGTTCATCGCGGTCGGAACCACGCAGTGTCTACATGAGTTGGGGTGATCAATAAAGGGGGAATGAGAAGAGATACGTAATACCACTATAATTGATCAACCATGCGCTGATCGATAAGATAGCAGTTGGCATCAAACATATGCGGAATCGATGAAGAACGATTGAACGGTGAGCACCAGGACGAAATGCGACTGCATAATATGCAAAGAATGGCGGGGGCCACTGTTGCAGGAGCGCCAAACGATCCCGCAAAATTTACACACCACCGCCCGGGTCACCAGACCACGCGGCGCGGGACACATTTCTGTCCCACAACGCAGTAGATTCAGGGCAAACACAGAGGGTACAGAACTGAACATGTTCTTTTTGAATCGCACATCTTGACGCAGTGAGCCATTCTATTCAAAATTAAAGCGGCATGCTGGTCTGTATCGCCTTTGCTTAGTCGTAATAAGCACCCTGAAAATGTCTGTCTTCATTTCTGTCATAGGTGCGGGACTAGGGGGTGGGCGTCAAACAATCGGCATAGGCGTTGTGGGTCAGTCGATTAGTCGCCCGTCTATCCTACGCGCGGGGCATAGTTCGCGACCGTAATTCACGTGTCGAATAGGAGTACCTATGAGCAAAGCTTGGATCTCCGCACCACCGAACTAGTCCGAATTGGTTACTGGAGACGAATCCATAACAAGGAGCGACGAATCTATTACCGATCGACGGCGACGTTATTATTACAGCCACACAGTTGAAGATGTGTGGCACAAGCAAAAGAGAACTGTCATTTCTCAATATTGCAAGTGTCAAATTATCGCACAAGATGTCTTCGGGAAAGTGACGTACCCACCTGCAGTGACTGGTTAGCAGCAAAATTCGTGAAGTCAGATAGGAACAGAAAACTAAAGAAAAAGGGAAGAAAAATGCCTGCTTACGTGGTACTGCCGGTGAAGTTGATCCCAGCAAGGAGAGGATGTTTGGTAACCACACCACCGAATGTTGGACCGTCAGCAGGGACGAAATTAATCACTCCTGGCGGAAGACCGCTTTCACGAAAAACGCTGAGAAATAATAAAACGCCAGAACGGTAAGTTGAGCATTAGACGAAAACAGTAGGTGCTCAAAAAGAAGTGTGAACATATGAAAGTGAAAGATCGAATGCCGGACGAACATTCTACGGTGGGAGTAAGCCACTGAGTACTTGTTACAACATAACATACTGCGATAAAATAGAGAGTAAAAACCGAAAATCTGCAATACGGCCAGAATATAGGAGCCTTGGATAAAGTTGGATGTGCATGACCAATGTCTACACCTATGACTACGCATCGTTCGTAGTAGAAGCAGTTTGTAGTACGACTCGGGACTAAGCTTAGATTTCTCTTGGTGAGGATCGACAAAAAGTCGTTCAGAAATATAATTGCCTAGGCAGCTGTACCAGGGCCCGGGGAATAAAAGATGGGATCACCAACCGTGTTACCAATCTACGCTAAAAGTGGCGCCGGCGCGACATCGCTCTTAACCTGAGGGGTAGAATCTACAATGTAGCCGTCCGTTAAACGCATGGTTTCGAAACCTGGCTCATCTGATTGACAGACATAAAAAGGCACGTTACGATCAACCACCACTACCATTGCAGTCTAGCACACACCTAGTAGGGACATCGCGTGAGCAATGAATATGTTCGGTGCCATCTATTTGGTGCAGGAAGAGCGAGTGAGCCGCTCAGCACCGTTATTGCAAGCACCAAACTCCACTGGCTGGGTCTTGTGTTGTGGATGTCAGCCCAGCGAACCCGCGTTCTGCGTTGTTTGTGCTACCGGGGTATGGATGGAAGAAGATGAGGGGAAGCCAAGCGATGACTCGGCCAAGACAAATGGAAACCCTCATTTTGAAATTAAACTCGGCTGGAGCCTCTCGGCCACCTGGTTGACATGGCGAAGAACCCACTTCAATGGCAACTGTATGGTGAATTTTTTTATTCCTCCCACGATCTTGTCGCCAATGCGTTTTATAAAACATAGTGGGATAATATTTTTACTTTGCCGCTGTCATTGTTGTTTCCTAATTTTTTACTGTCACTTAATCGAACTGCATTGCGGCACAACAGCCGGAATTTGTCTCACCCCTAGCTAATGTGTACGATGGGTGAAAGAATGAAGCTGGACTAGGACAAATGCCTGGCTGGATGAATTCATAAGATCAGAGAGCAGGTTTTGATTGAGTGAAGGCACTTATGCTTTTACTTCATGATAGGTAAACACACTCCTCGTTTATCTTTTGAGACAATGTAAAACTAACGAAGAAATTGAAGAGACTTGCGAAGAAGTTGCGCGGGGTGGACAAAGTAATTGAATTGGTCACAAGGCTTGTGGAAGTGTATAAAAACGAAAATAGGGCGGTAGTGTAGGCGCCAGGCTTTATAAACTGACGAAACAAATCTTGTAGACCAGGTATGACTCGTGGAAAGTTCGTTTTCAAGATTCTTACGTTTGTGATACTTTATTTGACCTGCCAGAAAAATGATCGTGAATAACTCTGGGGCAAAAGTTCTGACAGATGCACGACTAACAAGGTTGTGGTGGGAAGACGATATGGCTTCCTTGAAGTCGGACCCAACTTTTGTACATGCGCTGATGGATAAACTGCTACAGGGCGCTGAATGCAATGACATGCGATTCGCACCTTCGGAGTGCAAGGTGCTGCTATAGAACTGCGCCGATACATCAATTATCCTGACTAACAGTCACTTACGGAGGTCGATTGTTGTCAAAACCGCCGGTGAAATCACGGAGGTAAGTGGCAAGCGCTTTAAAGCTTCGGCCATCTATCGAGACGGTGCGATGTCAGTTTATCGGTCAGGGGCAGGGTGTTCATATCTGAAACAAAGCAAGTGTAACTACGCATAAGATATGAAGAAAATGCGCGTTTCGATCACCTTTACCAGGGAAGTATCGGTCATGACTACAATGAGCGCTGATTGGGTTATGCACATTCAAAGCTATTCATAGCCACAGTGATAGCCGCGACGTTCGATCGTAACCCCGTATTGAACACTGGACGTTCCTGAGCAGCACTGGAGCAAGGTGCAATGTCATTGCTAATTTGACGACGTGAGTCGTGGAAAATGAATCCATCGAACTTCGGTGTCTGGGTCATAGTTGTTCAAACTGGACTGATAATGGAAACGCAGTGGACGCTGCTTCAGTGTGATACGAAATGGTAATGGATAAATCTGTCGAAACCAAACCACTCTGTGATTCGGGTGGTGTAGTTCCGGAAGCTAAAATTTAGACGTTTTGGGACACATGGTTCATCCTGCACCATACAAAATCAGGTGCCGGCTGTTTTTGAATACGGCCTACAAAAAAGCGAGTATTCTCCTCGACTGGCGAGAGAGAAGCTTTCTAGCTCACGGTTTGATAAATGGCCATAATTATTAGTTACGCTCAGCCGGAAATGATATCTTTTTGACTGTTGCTGTAGCCCACGTTGACGACGCTGCAGAATCAGACACTGAATGCCTGAAAGGTCTGAGACTATTGGAATCCAAAGAAATCCGAGCTCGCCCGGAACCCAAAGTGATAAGAGGTCGTCATGTGGTAGCTGGCAGAAAAGCCTGATGGGTCCAAAAGAGAAGAGACCAGATTAAAGATTGCTCCGGACAATCTGGGAGTTGGCACCAAGAAGCCAATCTTCGATCAGAAAGCAAGAGACAACACCGGAGACTTGGTCAGTAGGTGGAGGCCCGATTAGAGCTGATTTAAAATGTGGCCACAGGCATCAATTGTTTTCTCCCAGTGGGTTCGGATCAGATGGCATCCGAAATACTCAATAAGTACCGAAGACCTAAGTAAAGAGTAAACAGCCGTTCAAACAGGATTAGATCGATGAGGCTGTCCAAGTTAATCGGGTGTAATATTCAGAAAGATAGTGTCATCAAGTTAGCCCCAGCCTGACACACGGTAAGAGATAAAATCACTGCATCTTAATATGATCCTTCCCCTGATCGTGTAAAAGAGGTCACAGATGAGAGAATGGAACGAATATGTGAGTCATATGTTCACAATGCGCCATGTCCTAGAAGGGGGTCGCACATAGTAATTTAACGAACGTCAGAAGTTCAACATCAAAACATTAACACAAATCAATGACGCAATATTGTGGTTGATGACCGTTACTCACCAGAGCGTCCATTAAAGCACACCATCTAAGTTAGGCCAAGTTCTTCGCATGTGTGTTGGCTATCTGTCACTGCCCATGTTGTCCGCCTGGTTAAGCGAAATTAAAGTCACTGACAGAAAAGTTACAGAAATAGTGACAAGCGACGAGACCCGTGGGTTCACCCAATCCTCCTGGACAAGGACCAGGAATAAGTCATATGGGTGGACAAACACCCTAGTTATTATGCGATAGTCAGGAAGTCAGTGGTAGCGTTGTATTCGTCCGCTTGCAAACACCCTTGATGTCACGAATACAGCTTATCTCAATCAGGTCCGATCGCTCTAGATTGTGGTTTATTTACTAATCCTGTTTTCCTACTCACTCAACAGGGTCCATCGTCTTGCTGCGTTTGAATGGACATCAAAATTGACATAAACGCAGACTTGGTTGAGTAGTTAAATGAACGAATCAATTAAAATACATGCTGAGCATGCGGTGCAGATATAAAATAAAACAAGATGCTAACCTATAGCGTCAGTAAAAACCTAATTACAAAGCTGCAGAATTAATTGCGAAGAAAGTAGAAAACTAACCGATATATGAGGTAGTTGGAGTGGATGGATGAGTCCGAAGGTTTCCACAACACCACATTGCCCATCAAAGCTGGAGCACTAGGCAGATTACCAGCAATAGCGGTGAAGTTGAATGGAGAAATAGCTGCCCAAAAACCCTGTAAAGAAAGCTGAATTGTCTGTTCGACAAACATACTTCATTTGGGCGGTAAATGAGACGATTGTTCGCCTCTTTGGTGTCAATCGGCTTGTACCGCAGTGCCTCCTAAAGGAGAATAATAATAATGCTATAAAAGTTAGGACGCACCGAAGCAAATTGCACATTGAATCGAAGAAAATCAGCCAATTCAGCGGCGGCGTCGATCTCTGCTTGGAAGATTGTTTTGCCCTGTGATAGACAGAATGAGGAGGCATTCTGTTTACCTGGCCAAGCATGGTGGCTGCCAAAAGGGAAAGTCTATATTTATCGCTGACCAGATCCGCAGCCTTTAGAAAAATGTGAGCTCGTTCGTCGAATGTAGTTCGTGACCAAGTTTCTCTGGCCTTGAGTGCCACATTAATGGCATCACGAAGTTGTTGTTCAGAAGCATAGTAATAGTGTGCCAAAGTTCGGGAGTGATCAAAGGGCTAAGTATGGTAAAATACGATGAGAACAAAAAGTGGTTGCACGTTACTAATACGCGTTTCTTCCGGTCGGCCGAGGTCAACTGGGCATCTGCCACGCATATCGGTACCTCAAACGGACTCTCAGACTGCATCCGTTGAAGTTCAGCTTCCAGTTGTTGCCGTTCAGTGCTACCCTGCTTGTAAGACCGAAGGGGTTCATTTTTAGCTTTGTAAGTAAGCCAAGCAACAGGCACTCGAAATGAAACAGGGGCAGTGGGCCACAGTAAAGACAAGCTGGGAACAAACGAAGTAAAGAGGGCAAAGTTGAGTAAAATGTGATACAATAATTAAGGAAATCATTCACGCTAAAGAGTGGGTCATAGGAGTGCAAGTGGGATCCCGATTTCGTTATGCCACCAAAAAGAAGACAGTGGACTAAAAAATGTATTCACTTTCCATCCACCAACAGCAAAAGCAGGGTTGCTGTCTGTTTAACAACCCTGTGGGGTGGCGGATGTGAAACGCCACTAAATAAAGTCACTGCCTCTTGCTCCCACCACGGAAGTCAGCCATCCACTTCGAAGAGTTCCTATGATCCCTTCCTGCAATGGTGACCTGAGCAAACACTCACAAACGCAGACACACAACCAAATTCAAGCAACTTGACTACATAAACTCACACTCACATATACAAGCACAAAGTTTCGGTTGGTAACTGGTTAATTTGTAACATTTGCGTGCGAGTACCGATTTGTCGTGTTTGTGTTACCTTAATCATGCTTATGCAGGCGCGTCTAGCAATGTCGAGAATATAAAATTTATTTGTTTATGATGGGAAACGAGTATTAGTACAGCAATAAAGTACAAATGTTGCGGTTTGTAAAACGAGGAGCTCAGGAATAATCTATGATTTTAGCGTTCGTAAGACAAGGAAAGTCTTGTTTCTCCACCGGTGTAACAAGTCCTACAAAACAACAGACGTAGGGAGTCAACTTTGAGATCGCCGTGAATCAGGAGAGATAAGGTCAGCAAGGAAAGATGGGTCAGATTCTGGTCTCCGAACAAACAACAGCAAGAACCTGTGACTACCCTCCCAACATGCGGTGGATTGCGTAGCAAGAAAAACTAGCCAATTTATCCCAGATTTACTAATGTGTTAAATCACAAACGTAGCGAGCGAGCGATGGTGTACGGATCGATCTGACAATGATATTCTGTACAGGTTGACACAGAACTAATGGCCGATTTGGTCCAAAAGCTTGTACAACGAGCACAGATAAAGAAAAAGAGAATCCGTCAGAAGCTGAAAACACTTTCAAGTTGAAGGTATGCATAACTCTTAATGCGCTGTGATAAACAATGAAAAGCGAGTAGAGGAAAGTTCAACATTCATAAACAGTTTGCGGATCGGCACGAATGATCCCTCATCACCAACAGTAGTACATTAGTGGTTTGTGTTGACGTTCCGCTCCCATGAAAACGTTATTACCATAGCAATGAGAAGTGAAGAGATGGACTTAGTGTAAAACCTAAAAGCTGCCAACAAAGTACAGACACAAACGGCTGGCCATCGTGCTGAGATAAGGCAGTATCGGCGAGACAAGTTCGTTCCAGCTCTCCTTGTGCCGTACCATAACCAGTCATCACCAAGCAGATAACAGCGATCAAACCGGAAAATAGCAAACGCGCATAAGACGTTGGCTGCCAAGTCGCATGAACACAACTCTAAAAGGCGAAATGGATCAACGGCACCGTTTAGTTGTCAGTGACTTCATTTCGCAATACGAAGTCCATTATTGTTCACCTCAAGCCTTGTGCATCCAACATCCGGCAAACAAAACAAGACCCCCCTCGGTAATCGGTGAGCGGGCATACGTGGCATGTGCTCAAGCAAACGTAACTAATGCAGCATCATTTGTTCTTCTACAGGACTGAGCTCACTACCCCGCCTAGTGTCAGGCTACGAGCATTATTGTTGCACAGCAGACAACGACAATCATAGAACAAACAGTACATCAGATCCTCCAACGACATGGGCCAATTCTGATTCTTATGGAATAAGACCGTCCTCAACATGTCTTTGTACACAAAGCGTTTCAGACAGAGGAAAAACTTTTTCTGACACGAAGGATGTCGCAGTTTCAAAAAGGCCATTCTTGATTTCGAAATAAGTAAACTAATAACATTTATTCTGCTAATTTGTGTGCAAGGCCTAAGGTCAGCAGCACTAACAACAAGTTGCCAAGATATGACAGTGTCTTGGCAAATTATGGACACAAGTTAGGAGCGAAAGGTTCTATAGACAAGCCAGAACCACACACAAAGTTGGCTAATGTGTTGACGTGTTGCACAGAAATTGTACGGGGGCCTATGTGCGTTTAAGTGTCATATAAGCTGTGTCCAGTGAACAGTGAAAACATGAAATGTTAAACTGTAAAAAATCCATGGACATGAGATGACTTGCAGCGGCAGGACAAATAAATCCGCGGTTGTCCAAAACCATAGATGCCAGCCAACTGGCAAAGCCGGATGTTCTGAATGCGCATCGAAGAACACGCATTCAGGTTGAGTAAGCGCTCAATGAATGAAAGGTCACCAGTAGCAAGTGCACCAAACCTTATAACCAGCAGGCAACTCCTCATGTGGTAAAACTGATAACCAACCTTGAATTTAGGTCACTGCGCAGTCTCTGGAACTTATCGATGCTCGCCGGCACATTCCGGCTGGAAGCGAACAGAAAGAGACTCGCAGACCTCAGGGCGAAACTCCGTGCTAGCCTGAAGAGAGATCGAGAATCGCTAGGAGGGTACGATTTCCCGAGCGCAGGCCAATAGAGCCTGTGAATCGTTGTCACCCAATTATCTGCCCGAACGAGCTAAGCCCAATGTCAAAGCTAGCTGGTGCCCGATGGTCAGACCGTAACAGACTAGAAAGATATCAACTGGCTAGTGTTGATCTGAAATGAACTCCCAAGAGCGATCGAACGATAAACAGCGCAGGCTGTACAGTGCAATTTAACCCACTTCTGGTCCACGTTTTGGTCTGGAATAAATTCCCATGTTTGCCGCGTACTCGCCGTGCTCGTTCTTCTTTACTGGGGATTGGCCTACTCTACCCTACCAGAGTGCGACACAAGAGTTGGCGAAGGGAACCCACGCTATATGTCAATAACCGCAAAGGACTTAAAGCCATTCCCGCATCAACAGCAAATTCAGTTCGAGACGGCCCAGATGCAATTGACGGAAAATTTGATGCGGCAATTCAACAGTAACTCATCATTTCCGGCCCTGGAAGAAAATGCAGCCGAAGCAACTGCAAACAGTGTCACGGAGTTCCATTATGAACCAGATGCTAGGTTGATTTTTGAGTCGTGGTTCAAACGATATGAGGAGATTTTCGTCGTAGAACTGAAACAAAAGGATGACGCACGGCAAAGTAGGTTGTTGTTGTGGAAACTATCTACAAATGAGCACACGCGATACTCAAATTTTATTCTGCTAAAGAAAGGCCTTGGATCTCATATATGACGAAAACGTCCACCAGCTATCAAAAATTCTCGGTGAGCTTTCTTGTTTAATACGCGATACCAGTGTATGAAGCTAGCCAGACAGGAGGGCGAAGACTTTATTACTTATGTTGGTAAAGTCAATTTAGAGTGCGAACAGTTCAAACTGTCTACCATGACAGAAGATCAATTCAAGTGTTTGGTTTTCATTTGAGGTCCCCAGTCACACTCTGACAGTGATATCAGAACCAGGTTACTGAGAAATATTTCAACAAATTATGGGCACAATGCATAGCGGATTGGAAGGAGCGGCTGCCTACCTTGATGAAATCATAATCATGGGACGAACGATACCGGAACTGTTCACCCGCGTAGATGCTGTCTTGCAGAGAGTACTTGAATACGGTGTCAGACGAAAGAGGGAAATGTGAGTTCTTCTTGGATTCAATCAAGTTTCATCGTTGACAAAGATGGCCGCAGACCCGACTCGACAAACATTTAGACAATCATACAAATGCTCGCCACCTTAAAATGTTGCTGAACTTAAATCATTCCTCGGAATGATCAGCTATTATGGCGCGTTCCTACTAATTATGCACGGACTGTGCGTACCTTTGCATCGGCTGCTTACAAAGGGACGTAGATGGGTGTGGTCAAGTAAATGTCAAAATGCTTTGAACAAGTGAAAAAGTATTTGAAATCTGAACTGCCGCTGACCCATTTTGACTCAGCTTCCGATCATACTGACAACTGGCGTGTCAAATTGTGGAGTGGGACCAGTTTTAGCCCACGAATTTTCTGATGGAACCAAGAATGCGATAGCTCATGTCGCTCGATTTCTAAAACTAGCGGCATGCAATTACGGACAAATTGAAAACGAAGCTTTGGTTATCATCGTTGTCTCAACGTAGTTCTATAAAATGCTCTACGGGAGACATTTCACTCATGTCACTGAACACAAGCCGCTGTTGGCCATGTTAGGATCCAAGAAAGGTATACCAGTGTATACATCGAACCGATTACAACGCTGTGACCCAGTAGTACTGAACTATAGCTTCAATATCAAGTACGTCACCACTAGTAACATTGGACAGATGCACTAATAAGTGATCATAGCTCGGAAGCAGAGGAAATGGTTATAGTAAAGATCGCTGTAGAAACCGAAGTCAAAGCCACCGTTTTGGAGACCACAAAAAAGTTACCGGTGAATTGTGATATGGTCCGCACAGCGAATGAATCGGACAACATACTTCAACAGACGATGATGTATCACCGACCAAACTGGCCGTCACAGTGCCCAGCTGGAGAACTCCGACAATTTTTTTCAAAGACGTAATGCACTATCTGTTGTCGATGGCTGCCTCCTTTTTGCTGATCGCATTGTCATTCCGTCGGGACTCCGCCATAGATGCATGATGCAGTTTCAGCAGGGACATCCTGGGATAAACCGAATGAAGGCCTTGGCGAAGAGTTACGTCTATTGGCCAGGTATGGATGAACAATTGGAGCGTTTGTGCCGTAGCTGTATTAGATGTGCCTCCACCCAAAAAAATGCCCAACCGACACCAAGCAATACCCAGCGCAAAACCAGGGAAAGCATATGTGCGTCTGAACGTTGATTTCAACGAACCGATTAAGAGACAACGT